GAAAGGCATGCATTTTCTTGAAGAGGGGAAAAGAAAAAAAAAAAAGGAATAAAGGGGAAGACGATAACTAATTTTTTTATTTTTTTTTTAGTTAATAAAACAGTGCAATTCTTTGCCTGCTCGGTATCATTTACACACCAGAGGTTTCGAAAGAATACTAGACATTCCTGACGAAAAATTCACACAGAATAATGACAATTTATCGGGGATGAGATGATCAGTATTTTATAACAAGATAATAACTCACAACACAATATCGAGAATAGAGCTGTATACATAAGTTTGCATAATCATAGCCCACAGAATATTATGTGTGCATAGAGTTTATCAGACATATCCATGTTATCATATATAAAAAATCAACTTAACCCCTTATTTTCCTTTTCAAGCCCCAGCCTATGAAGTTTTACAATCCAAGCAGCCAAAAATGTTACCTTAATTCACAACATAGAACAATGGTAGACACTTCCCCTTATAAGAATCCATACTGAAGCATCTAATAATAGTAGCAGCATTTTGACATAGCTCAATTGAATTTAACTTTGAGAGACCAGACACCGTGTAAATTTAGGTTCTTAGCAGGGTCAAGCCCAGGTGCCATGAAGCATTGACAACATATCTAATACACTTACAATGAAGCAAGAATAATTACCCAACTAACAAATAATCAACAACCTCAAATAATCACAGGGCCAGGAGATGAACTAAAATTGGAAGGAGAAAAAAAAAAAAGCAGAATTTATCAAAGAAAGAATTATTAGTTTATTACCCGCGACAACAGGCATTGGAGGAGCAACAATGGCGAGTTGCGCGGCAGGCAGTGCCCGGCCATTGGAGGGACAGCATGAAGTAATCAAACTCCCTCTGTTTATCGCGCAGTTCTCCAAATCTCTCGCCGAGATTGTCACCGGCGTTGACTCCCTTGATGCAACAGAATCCGGCCAAAAGAACGGAAACAAAGACGCATTGCATCACCAGTCGGGTGGCGAGAGAAGCCATGGCTGTGGCGTGAAGATTCGTGACCCTTTTTTCTACATAATATTTGGGATGCTTTATAAAGTTATATTATATGATAGGAAGAAAAATGCTACTGCATAACCTTCACATAGAGTTTGGTCTATTTGATTTTTTTTTTTTTTTTTATTATTATTATTTTTTTTTTTAATGGGTTTCACTCAATGTGAGTATTACATACACTCTATACTCTTATGTACAACATTACCTTCACATAGAGTATGGTCTATTTAATTTTTTTCTTTTATTTTTAGTGGGTTTCACTCAATGTGAGTATTACATACACTCTATACTCTTATGTACAACATTACGGGGAAAGGCAAGAGGAAGTTTGATGGAGTGGAGACGAACCAAAAGATTGGTGACCGAATGTCTTAATCGACTTTTAGCCAACAGTGTCAATTTTTTTTTTTTACTTAGTTTATTCTATTTTGAATAGTAGTTAATTATTTTTTATTTTTTAAATTAAAGGTTCTGAAACTGGGATCGGTCAAGCTACTAGTTCAATGGTTCATCAGTCCGAACAATAGTTGAATCGGTAGGACTCGTATTTAATTTATTAATAGTTTTAAATATATATAATATTTTATATAATAAAATTTATATATAAATTTTTATTAATTAAATATTAAGCCAATTTAAATATTAAATACTTAAACTAACTGATAATAATTTATTAGCACTGTCAAAACGGGCCATGGCCCGCGGGCTGGCCCGTCCGTCCGCCTAAATGGACCGGCTTGGGCCTTTGCTTGGCCAGCCCGTTCGATCGCGGGCTTATTTGGCCCGCCCCGTTCGGCCCGCGGTCTAAAGCGGGCTGGGGCGGGCTGGCCCGCGGTCCAGCCTATTTTTTATTATTTATTTATTTGTTAATTTTATATTATTTAAATTTAGTATTTCTTATTTTGTTAGTATTATTTGTCTTTATGAATGCACATGAAACACTTTTTTACATAATAAAAATATTTATGAATCAAATAATATTTTAGAGAAAACAGCTATTTTCACCCCGTTCTGAAGTCATACTAAGTTTTCACACAACCCAATAAAAAGCTAAGTTTTTCAACCCAAAAAGTGCGAAGGCATATGCGATGAACTATGCGATAAATAGGCGACAGGTATGAGCATGGTGAGAAAATTATGAGTTAAAGTATGCGACTGTTCTGCAATGAATATGCGGAGATTCGATGTACGATTCGGTCAATCGCGGTCCGTCGCCCATTAAATAATTATTCTTGTTAGGTGAATGAATCTGCGACTATTAGTCGAAAAAATTATTCTGCGACACAACTGCGACATACCAACGTCGCATATTATTCGCAAAGTTGGTGCATAATATGTTTTTTTCGTGTTTCTTTCATCTTTCAGTTATGCGAGGGGGTATGCGAATTTACGCATATTGCTCGCACATAACCTCCGCACTTCTACTCGAAAGTTTATTTTTTTATTTCTTTCATCTTTCAGTTATTTCAGTTATGCGATGGGGTATGTGAATATCCGCATATTACTCGCATACCTCCTTCGCACTTCTATTCTAAAGTTTATTTTTTATTTCTTTCATCTTTCAGTTATTTCAGTTATGCGATGGGGTATGCAAATTTCTGCATATTGCTAGCATACCACTTCACTTCTACTCTAAAGTTTATTTTTTATTTCTTTCATCTTTCAGTTATGCGATGAGGTATGCTGATTTCTGCATATTTGCTTGCATACCACTTACACACTTCTATTCGAAAATTTATTTTTTATTTCTTTCATCTTTCAGTTATTTCAGTTATACGATAGGGTATGCAAATTTACGCATATTGCTCGCATACCACCTTCGCACTTCTACTCGAAAGTTTATTTTTTATTTCTTCCAACTTCCAGTTATTTCAATTATGCGATGGGGTATGCGAATTGCCGCATATTGCTCGCATACCACCTTCGCACTTCTATTCGAAAGTTTATTTTTTATTTCTTTCATCTTTCAGTTATTTCAGTTATTCGATGGGGTATGCGAATTGCCTCATATTGCTCGCATACCACCTACGCACTTCTATTCGAAAGTTTATTTTTTATTTCTTTCATCTTTCAGTTATTTCAGTTATGAGATGGTGTATGCGAATTGCCGCATATTGCTCGCATACCACCTTCGCACTT